GGTCTAACTAATGTAAGTATTCTCAATGTCTTATGTAGTCAAGAGATAGGAGAATTTTTCAATGGATCTCTTTGTTTATGCAATTGTTTTTACTATAAGCTCCACACACAACCCCTGTTGGAGATTCAGGCATGCATTCACATTTGAGAATAGTAAATATTGGTGTCACATACATGTTCATCTTTATTGGATAAAGTTTACTTTGATCTGGAATCCTGATAAGACTTTTAAGGTGTATATTGGGAAAAAAGTTCAAAATTAGAAGGTACAAAACAGTTAACAGTAGTTGGACAGTTTATGGGTGGTTAGAGGAAGTTATTTAATCTAGTAGGGGTTATCTTTGGATGAAACGGTTCCTTCTGGTGGTGGTGTGTATTTTGTTTCAGAACAGGGCTTGTCCTGTGTAGAAGGGAATTTCTTGCCTTGGAAGCTGTTGGATATTTTCTTGTATTATATTTTTTAGAATTAGAGTGTTATTTACGTTGTGCAGGAAGATTTGTGTGTTAATTTCTTAAACTGAATTATAAACCTGGTTTCTTGTCTCCAAGAAACCTAACAAATCCCAACTTTTGCCATCAGTGTTGTAGTCTCTCTGCTCTTTTATTATCTTTCTGGACTCCGAAGTCAGACCCATTTTAGGATACTTCTTTTGTAATGAACCAAAACAAAATATAAATCTGAGTCTTCTTTTTATTCATGATATGAAGTTCCAATAAAGAAAGGTTTTTTAGAAAAGAGTTTTTTTTTTAGTTGAGATTGGTAATTACTGACTTTCTTATTTAGTGTCAAATTAGTTCTTTTTGAGTCTTAAGGGAGTACTCCCCAGAATATATTTTCATACCCTGAAACATCACCTATGGGGATTGCATTTTTTCAATCCACCTGTACTGTTTTTTTATTCTTTTTTTGTTGGGGGTTGACATTAGTGTTTTCAGATCTTAATTATTATAAGAGAACAGAATTAAACGAATCAAGTTGGCATTTTTTACTTGTCCTTTTTCCAAGTTATTTGCCATTTATTCCTTTCTTTTCGTCTTTCTAAATTGAACAGAATTATAGCATGTGTTCTCTTTATGATGTACACTCATGATTTTTTGCTTGCCAATTTGCTTTCTACTCCTTAGTGTAGAGAAGTTTCCTACCATCATTGTGAGAAGGGGGTAGAAAGAGTACAAAAAGTATACTGTAATGGAATAGACTGTATAAAATGACCACCTTTTGTACAGATATTACTACATTAGGAGTGCAGTACAAAATACATCTATGCTATACACCCATGTATTCTCAATAACCTGAAGGAAAATCTTAATTAACTCTTTACACTCTCTATCAAGCTGAAACATAGATTTTAATGACGTTGAGCTTGTTTCAAATAAATCACAGCATATCCTACTCAAAGCCTTAGGGAATAAATAAGCAAGTTGGTCAACGGTCACTCGTGAGTTTTCTGTTTAGATAAAATGACAACATGCTGTATACTCCTCCTGGCATATTGGATTTGATGAGATGAATATGGCAGCCTGGTTATCAAATCACAATGATGGAGGGGCAGACTCTCAAATCCATTCTCATCTTGATCTAACATTAATCTACTCACATGAGTTCGCAATTAGTCTGAACCATAGCATGATATTCTAATTCACTTGATGTTGCTAACACATTTTTGCTTCTTATTCCTCTATGACATTAAATTATCTCACGAAAAAGCACAGTATTTTGGGGGTGGATTTTTAATCTGTAAGAGCCCCTACCAATTAGTTTTTGACCTTGCAAGTTGTCTTGATTGCTAATACAATATTAATTAGATAAGTTGAACCATTGCGTTCCATGAATATGCTTTATTGGCTGGTCTCATCTTGTCAAACCTAGAACCCCAAGTGAAGTATATCTCGTAGAATTGTTTTTCAGTAAGAAATCATACATGAGATCATTTGTTATGTATCAGATGGAAATAAAATAATTTTTGTGGTTGATTTAGTAGAAGTCTATGCATGGTTTATTTAAAGTTTATGCATTTATATGGTCACGTCTCAGATTCGTTAATGTGCCATTATTAAATGAGAGGCAGTCTTCTCATCATATTCCATTTTTTCTCAAATAAATTGCTGTTCTTTAGGTTGAAGTTTTGAAGGAGCACTTCTCACCTTTTGGCGAACTTTCCTCCGTAGAGCTAGAAGACGTGCAAACAAATGATAGTATCCAACAAGAGGCTCATATAACTTTCACTACTCGTTGGGCAGCTGAGAGGGCATTTATTAATGGTAAATGTTGGAATGAACAGAATCTGAAATTCATGTGGTTGACACCATCTATTTCTAGTAATGCGACCGGTGGTAGAGAACGATCTCAATCTGCTCCCAAGGAGCCCTTAGATTCAGATGACTATTCTAAAGAAAAATTAGGAAACTCTGTGAACCAAGAAGTGATTGAATCAGATGGCGAGAATAGAAATTCTGAAACTAGAAATGGTTTGGAGCATGTGGAAATGGAACCAAATGAAGATCCCCAGTCTACCACAAAAGTTTCTTCTCCCAAACAGTCACCCGAGGGGAGTGTCTGTTAAGGATCTACTAATGGTCAGATTTGTACAGCAAGGTAAAATTTTAAATCTATCAAACTCTAATTTTCAGGGGCTTATTTTTTGTTTCTATTTTCAATTTCTGAAAAGTTATTATTCCATGTTCCTTTTTAAATGCTCAGAGACTTGTAAATTTCCTTCTTTTTGGCTGCCTCCTGTATTTGGTGGTATTAGTGGAATGATGCATCATGTAGTTCACTTTTAGGATACAAGTTTTGAGGTTCAAAATTCTGTTAAAAGCCATTGAACGCTTACATAACAAATATTCGGAAACCCTTTTCCCTTTATGTCTGTAGTTACAGTGGAAATATAATTGAAGCGGTTAGACACTTAGTTTGATTGCATACCTTTAAATGTTGTTTGGTTCACTTCCTATTATTTTAATTTCCTTCAATTGAGTAATATATAAATATTGATTATTAGTTAAAGACTTTTAAACTGAGACATTTGTCCAACAGCACTGTGATCCCCCCAAAAAATCATTGTGCGAAGAGTTTGGAAAAAACATTTCAGTTTTTTTAAGAAAAATTATATTTATTATTACTAGTATTATTGCCCGTATGATTTGAATTTTTATACCTATAAATCACTTATTGTTTATACCATCCCTATTATTTGCGGGAGAAAAATGTTGAGCCATTTAATATTGAATGCTTTTACTTTTCAGTCATTATGTAATTCCATTAAAGATGACAAGAGAATAATGATAATCCTAGTAGTGATGTTTGCATTGATGACAGCAATGAAGACATTCTCTATGGTAGTACCTATACGTTTGTAATTTAATTTCCATATATTAAATTTTATATTGTTATTGGAAATTATTGTCCATTATTTATATCATAAAAACAAATTATCTAAAAAAATCATAAAATATGTTTTATATTTTTAGTATTATGATCTATAATATATTAAATTTGTATATCTATATAAAATTTAAAAATAAGGAGAACAAGTTAAAGTCTCAAATCAAATCCCTTTACAATTGGTGGGATAATCTCGTCTATTTTTTTAATTGATGGGGAACAAAATAGGTCAACTAGTTAAATTGATTTATTTTATTTTACGAAAAATGAAAGTATATTAAATTATATAAATGATATATGTATAAAATTTTTATCATAAATTTTAGTATGTCTATGTCAATCATTAATGACCTTTCTATATTGCATGTGTTATTATGCACATTAAAATTTTAGCTACATCCTTATACATTAAAGTGAAATTTTATAATAATTTAAATTTTGTTATTGGTTTATTAACTATATATGCAAAGTGTGACATAGTAATGAAAATATCTATGAGGATGCAAACCAATATCGGAAAAAATATGTATTATTTATACTACTATTGAGGGTATTGAAATCGAGAAGACTCCAAGAAAGTAAATAGATCGAAAACAACAAAGGAATCAAGGACAAAAATGAGAAAGCAATGATCATACAGAAGACAAGATCAGTTTAGGAGGCAAACCCTAACATGATAGAAAATTTCAGGGTGTATCAAAAAGAAAACATTGAATATGGACTGTGCAATGTGGACAATTTTTAAATGGTTATTGTATATTATTTAATTTTTTATATTTTATTTTGCCTTAATTTTCGAAAACATAAATAGGTCATTTATGTTCAAAAATAGATATTAAATTGTATATATAACACAAATACTGACAACATCACTAATAGGAAAATGATAAATTCAGTGATGATGATTGTAGTAGTTTGAGTTACAATTTTATATTTCTTTTACCAATTTTTGTTTTGTCAAGAGTAGTTTATTTTTATGTATTTACATTTCTTGTACTTTACGTTTTCTGTTTTTCACATACTTTTACTTTAATCCATCTTTATATTCACCATTTCTATTTACATAATTTCATTTCCATCTAAAAACACAAATTCCAATTATTAAAAAGAAATTCATGAATTCTTAATTGATATTTATATAAAAAAGACAATTAAATAAATTTAACATATTTATAAAATTGATCCATAATATAAAATTTATCCATCAATTTTGTGTTAGTTATGAAATTTTAAATTAAAACACTATAATTTAGATAGAAAAACAAATATTTATTAATATTATTACAAAGAATCGACTTCAAATTCATTTGACTTAAAAAAATACATATTAAACGCATATCGAGCCAAAATCTTCGGAAAAAAACCATCAATGAAGATCATGTTTTTTTATGACTTAACGTTAAAGTTAAAAATAGTAATTTATTAGACAATAGCCTAAAGCAAACCTTTTAAACTACGATTTTTAACTATAACCTATTATTCTTCATTAATTTAAAAAATCTCATCATTTCAATAAGAACTATGTTTTTCAGATAACTGTAATTTATCTTCAAAATAATTTCATACATCTAGACTAATGAATGAATATTCATTTATTTATTTTAGTTCTTGAATTACAATCGTGATGATGAAAAGGGTATATGTGAAAAAGTAAGAAGACACTTGATTTTGAAAATGATTGAAAAAGAATTTCAAAATTAAGGTAAAATTAATTTTATTTTATTTCAAAATTATGGTAAAATCTCATCATCTACCTCCATAGCTTTCTGCAATCCATGGATCACATATCTGCATGTTAACTTATTAGGAACATACCCCACTTTGAGCAGCTTATCCTGAATCTCCATCAACTCTGTCACATTACCAACATCACAAAACACTTTCACAACTGCATTGTAGCTTTCATTATCATAAACTTGAAACTCCTTGGCAAAGAGTTTCAATAAGAACACAGCTTTATCAACCTTATTTTCCTCACAATACCCTTTTATCAATGCCCTGCTTATTTCTACATCAGGTAACATACCAGAACTGATCATTTCCTCCAACAAACTTTCAGCCTCAAGACTCCTCTTCACTCTACACATGCAGCTTATAAGAGCACTATAGGCAACAATATTCATTTTCATGCTCTTCTTTTCCATCTCAGATTTCAAAACTAATGCCTCTTCCACATTATTGAATCCACATAGAGACTCAACCAGTTTATTGTATGTATTCATTTTAGGTATATAGCCATCCTGAGATATTACCCTCTGCAGAAAACTTCTAGCAGCAAATGGCTTACCTTCCTTACACAATGCAACTACAAGATAATCATATACTTCTTCAGGAATCTTTATTCTATATTTCTTAAGCTCTTCAACAGTGTTCAATGCTGACACAAGTTTTCCATCCCTAACATATCCATCAACTATAAGCCTACAAGTGATGCTGTCAGGACAAATCCTATTTCCTATCATTTCATACAATATTGATCTACACATTTGCATCTTACCTTGCTTGCAATATCCACACACAAGAGTATTATAGGACACAATATCTGGATCTATGCCTCTGTGAACCATCTGATGAAATAGCTGATGAGCCTCCTTGATCTTCCCTTCTTCACAAAGACCATTCATCAAGGTTGTGTATGTGATCAAATTAGGCATCACACCTCTAACATACATGATCTTGTACAAATAAAAAGCATCCTCCAATCTCTTTTTCTTACAATAACTATTAACAAGTGTGTTATATGTGACCAAGTCAGGTTCAAAACCTTCCTCCTCCATCTTCTCCAAGAATCCAGTCACCTTATCAGTATCTCCATCTTTGCATAAAACATGAGTCATAATGTTGAAAGTATAAGCATTCCTATGTACTCCAAGTTTTCCCATCTCTTCATACACTTCCCAACACTGAGTAATGTAATTAAACCTAGACAACCCACTCAGCAAACAATTGCAAGCAATCACATTGGGGATAAAACAAGCCTCAATGTTCCTCCTAAAAGTTTCCAAACCCTTCTCAACCATTCCAACCTTCACATAAGCCTTGACAAGCATGTCAAATATCACAGGGTTCCAATTACAATCCTCAGTACACGCCACAAGATTCTCATAAATGCCCCCATTTGAAGAAACACAAACACCCTCAACCTCAACCATTTGTATCAATTCAGACAAAAACTCCATGGCCTGAGAGAACACTCCAGACCAAGCAAGTATATGAAGAACTACACAGTAATTTTGCACAGTTGGTGTGATATTCAAATCTTTTTTAACCCAATTGAAGAAAGTGATGGCTGAAGCGTGATCAGACTGGCATCTGAGCAAGACCCTTGAAATTTCATGGGGACCCAAGTGGGAGAGAATCCCTTTGATGTCATTATTTTGGACAAGGGAAAGATGGGAACTTTCGTGTTTGAGGATCGAAGAGATGAGGTTTACGATGTTGTTTGGGTTTTGGGTGGGAGGGAGAAGATTGTAAAAGGGACTCAAAGTGCGATTGGAGTGAGAATCATGAATGGTGATGAGAGTAGTAGTAGAAGAAGAAGAAGCAGCAGAAAGAAGGGTTTTATCAGTGAAAGTTGAATTCGAGAATGATTGAAACAGTGTTGGAAGATAGATTGAAGGTCGACGAATCATGTTGGTGAAGAGAAAGAAAGAAAGAAGAACAACATATCAGGTTTTGGGTGGACAAAGTTATCACTGTGATGAAGTGCAAAAATTTGAGTTTTGGGTTACCATGATGGAGAATTTAGGTAAATTTCGATGTCAGATTTTATGGCTTTAAAAATTAGCTGTAGAATTGGAAATTTTATTATTTATTATTTTTTTAATTATATTTTCCTTTCAACTACTGTAATTTTTAGTTTCATATATTTTACTAATTTATTAAATGTTTACGGATGTACTAATAAAAAAAATCTTTAATAAAATTGTTTCATTTTGTAAATTTTATTTGACTCATTAATAATATTAGAGTATTTTATCATCTAAGTTTATTTTCGTATTCTACCATTATGATTTTTAAATCTTTTTACGTTTTATCAACTTATAAAATAATGTAGCAAAAAGAAAAAAAGAAAAAGAAAAAAACTTCGTTTTGTTACTTATATTAGAAAATAAAGAACAAGGTTTCGTTGTAAGGTTAACTTCGGAGTTTGTTGTTTATTGTGTCCTGTTTATAAGACGTATTTCAATCTTGAATCACAAATAATAACTTCTCTATTTTCCGTTTATTAGACGTGATTTTGTTTAATGTGTGTATTTGACACATTTTCCCTGCAAAAGCTTAATCTTGAAATCATACATAAGATTGTCTATAGTTACGTTAGAATTTTGTTATCCAAGCTTTCCATGGCACCTTAATATCTTGTTTTTTTAAAAAAGAAAGTACACTTTTTACAATATTTTAACGTGTTATTTTTTTTATTAGTTTATTATTTATTTGTTTTTGTGTTGACGTATTTTAAATTTAATGAAAAAAATAACACATGTATTATATTAAAATATTATACAAAAATCATTATTAACTTATAATTATCTTGTTTGTTACCTTGTCTCAACTTTAATCTTGCCACTGGAATGTATGCACCTTTTTTTCAACTTGTGAATGCACATGTGCAAACCATGATATTGTTGTCACATAAGTCTCCATATACTTTACCACTTATGTCATATGAACATAGACTGTCTTAAACATCAGAAGAACATTGAGTTCTCTGTTGTATCATTGTAGCTAAAGCAGCAACAATTCTTCCTGGTAATTCAAATTCTGGAATATTGAATTCTGTTTCTCACACAACTAAAAAGATTTCTTGTGGTCGATTTATCAGAGAACACTCTCGACAAAACTTTAGACCAAGCAAGTATGTGAAGAACACAGTAGTTGTGAAACAACTATTGAGAAAGAAAACACTTTCAACATGTTGTAAGAAAATTCCCGAAAAATATTTTTTTAATAACTTCTTTTTATAACCGCTTAGGTGATAGTTCGTGATGGATTTGTTTCAAATACACGTATCAATAAAATAATGATACATAATTTATTATAAAAAATATTAAAAAAAATTGTTAATATACATGGTCCTAACAGTATTCTACTTTATTATGTATTGAATTTAAGCAATTAGTAGACAGCCAATACTTACCTACATTTTAAAAATATCATTTTTTTCACACATATATTGTATTAAGAGTTATATTATCTTTTTCATAAAAACAACTTTTGAATACTTTTTCAGATTTCCAATCATTAAGTGAATTTGTATCAACTCACTAAAAAACAAGACATTCCAATGGAAGTGGAAATCAAGGGCTTGGAAATTGGAACCCAATAATTTTTCTTGTGTATTTTAATTGAAATGCGTTACATATCTCTGTGATCAACCACTAGGCTATAACTATATACATAAGGGTTGTGTAAGAAGAACAGAAAATAATGGTACAACATTAGTGCATTGAGATGTGAATATACAGCTCCATGATTTGTAAGAGACATTCCACACGGTTGGCTTCTGCTCAACACTGTGCCCTCTCAATTGAATTCCGAATCAAATAAAGAATGGCAGAAACAGCTCAGAATTCTCCACATTCTATGAATGCCAAAGATTATTCCCTAAAAAATAGGGCTGCATGTAGCATGGTAAGGGTGTTCTTTTGAGTATATAACAATTTCAGTGTCATAATCTTTTATTTTCAGGACTATAGTTTCCTTCTCGAGCAACAACCATGCTGGAGAGCCGGAGTTGCTTATCTAATGGCAAGTAACTTTTAAGTAAAACACATGTATGATGCATCACTTTTAGCAGAAAAACAGTTATTTGATTCTCACTTTCATCGATGAGTTGCGAGCCAGGAATATAGGAACCGTCTGCTATTTGCGTAGCCCAGTTGTATATACGTTCTGTGGATGAAAAGAGGTGCGACACGACAGTTTCAGCAACAACATTCCAGTTTTGGTCTGCTAGAAGAGACACAAGGGTGACTGGTAGATCATTCACAACCATTTGTTGGTCCACGATCATAAAGGGCATATACTTGCAGCATGCAGCAGATAACAGACCAAGAAACTGCAGTGCCTGCACAAAGTACGTTCCAAAACAAATTCAACCTGGTTATCAAGGAGTAGAACATACTTCTATACAGCCTCTTAAGTAGCTTTTTTCAAAAGCACTTATAGGAGAAGAAAATAAAAAATTAAAAAATTAATAAGATAAAATTAACTTGAGCATAAACTAATATTTAAAAAACTCTCTTTTATTAGTTTCTCCGAAAACTGATTTTTAGCTTATGTAAGTTGATTTTAGCTTATAGAGAAGTTTTTTTTCATTTTTCCTAATTTTCTTCTTCTATAAGTACTTGTACATAAGTTTGTCTAAAATCAGGGAGTAACACAGTAAATGCTAGTCACTTAAAAAGAAATCAGAGAGAAACAATATGAACAATGAAATATCACATGAAAATCTTTCCGGCAAAAAATAATTTTGTCCATGAAATTCAAGTTGATACAAAAGATGGAGTTTTTCATGTATATTATTTACAAATAATAATCGTCCTCATCATGATAATGACAATAATTTCACTAAAAAATTTCAACAAACCAGTATAATTTTCTTTATCAGAATTTCTGAATTAATGTATTGATTCTTTTCAAAATAAAGAAAATGCAAACCCTTATAGCACACCAATTCTTGTTGAATTTAGTTTTTGAATTTTTCTATGATATGCCTGAAGGTTACTATAAATAAGTTGGAATAATCAGTAAGGAACTACTACCGTGGACGGAAAACTGGATACGCAGCTAATTTCAACAGCATCAATAAGCCACTGTTTTTTAATACTTTCCTCGGCACAGTACAAAGCTGCCACAACTTCAAAGAGTATATGCCAGAGTCCTGGAAAAATTAAACATATGGTATTGACATTTAATATGTGAACCCTCAATTATTTCAGCCTAAATTGATCTGAGCTTTCCTTTGCCCAAATACACAAACACTGAATAGCAAAGCAGAAAATTAACCTTGAGATTGGGAGTTCAAAATGTAGGATTTCATTTTTCCAAGTTCAGTCACTGAAAGGGAACCAGTCTTCACAAGCTTGATCTTAGCACAAACCTTTTTCTGGAGTTCAATAGATTTTCCAGCACTCTGAACAAACTCCTCATGTGAAACCTGTGAATTCAAATGTCAGCTTAGATCACAGGTTTAAAGTGACAATTTGATAAACAATAGAAATGATGACATATTGTAAGAGATTACTACTATTATTGTGAGAGATCTCAAAATACTTTTCTTGAAGGGAAAGCCGGATGAAGAGATATTGTACAATATATCATGTATGTACACCATACCTTCAGGAAATCCAATAGCCAACTTTCTGGAGCCTTCCCTAAGCATCTTACAGCCTCAGACCATTCCTCCCCAGAACTTACATCCCCTGAAACTGCACTTCCAGAAGATTGAATTGCTGGTAATAAAGTAAATAGAACTTCCATGCACCTCTCAATATGAGATATGTGACCAGATGTATCTGCAGAAACCTCATCTAGGCATTCATAGAGACCTTTCCAGCATGAAATACATAACAAGCTTTTGTGGTAGGTGCCCGACTTTGTGTGTGATGTAAAAGACAGTAAGTGATTGCTCACATCACCAAATAGTTTCTCAAGCCTGGAGTTTGAAAATACTTTCTGCCAGATGGTAAGCAGACATGACTGTATATTTATTTCAAGTGTCCTAAATCTGGAAAATTCAGACAGCTCATAAAAAAAATGTTAGAAGCGAATCAAATTAATTTGCATGAGCCATTGCAAACATGGTGCATTCCTCCCTAAGAGTTCCATTCTTGCAAGTAGAATCTTTGGGTAGCAAGTCAACATCTTTGACATCATATTTCATACAACGCCTAATAATTGATCCCCAATCCAAACTTGGCAACCTGGGAGCTCTAGAGAGACACCTTAACACGGAAATGACTCTGTCTTTATGTACAGCAGATTCAGGCTTAATTTAGACACAACAAAATGAGAACAGTGAGAAATAATAATGAAAAAACATATCACAAAACTATTGTAATAGAAAATATAGATGTGCATGGGAAGTTTATCATATACAACCATGCTAAAATCAAAGAAAAAATAATTAAATAGAAGCAGAAGTTATTATTATGTTGAATTCAGTTAACACAGTGGTACAAAACAATGTAAAAAATAATGAAATGACGAATAACATAGAATAACCAAGACCAAGAAAAATTCTAAGATGATTTTATTGTTTCAGCCAGTAATTAAAAAGGGCAGATGAACAAAGTGTGATATTAAATTCACTGACAAGACTTATAAGGAAAAAAAGCACTCGTTCGTAAACCCCCGACCAAATGTTACCAAGTAAAAAAATAATACATGGTAGAATATTTTATTTAACAGAAAAATAAAACAAAAACTTATTATGGTTATAGGAATAATAAAATCATTGGCTTTTAATGATTTCAACAAGGTTATTACATTTAAAAAGGGAGGGAAAAGAAATTTATCAAACTTAAACATATTATTCATGAATGATTGGTATTTGTGATATGATTATTAAAGAAACCAAACTTCAAACCCCAACAACTAGCTTTTTGTGAACACTTAAAAAATTTATATATAATCTTGACTTCATGACTTATGGATTTGAAGCTGCTTTTGTGATTAGTTTGATTTTCAACTCCCAAACGTGAAAAGAAAATATGTTTGGATAATTCTAAAAAGAAAAACTAACCATCAACCTAGAAATTAAACTGCATAGCAACACCCCTCCCATCGAATAAAGAAAGGAAAATAAGCAGAGACAAAAGAGTTAACCACATGATTTCTTATTATGGTATTAAATCATGGTTTAGAGACTATCCTAACGAAATTTGTTGTTTGTTAGACATATTGTTTCACCCGCTATTATGTTGTTATCAAATCACCCATTAATGTTTAGTCTCACACACAAGATGTATATACCTCGGCATGAGAGGGGTGTGATGAAAGTTCCACATCGACTAGTGATAAGTGGATGCAAACTTCACCTTACAAGTCGATTTTGTGGGATTGAATTAAACTTAAAATCCACTTCTTAAATGCAAAGAGGAAAGCATAAAATAAGAAAATGAAGAACAAACATAAAAATTTACACAAAATCTGGACAAAACATTTACCTCATTGTATTTGAAATCCATAAGCCACATACTAAGCTTCAAAACAACATTGTCCTCAGAAAAACTGTGGGAAACAGATTTTGAACTAGTTTCAGCTACACTGCCATCACTATCAATCCCCAAAAGTTCTTTAGACCATAAATGATGCCGAAGGAAGGCAAGCACCCAGGAAGCAAACTGTTGTAGCTGCTGATTATCAGAATTCTGTGCCACAAGAAACAACTCTTGCACCAAAGATGTCAAGTATGGCTCAAAATCAGAACTTGAAAGGAGAGGGCCCACTACTGAGGAAGACTCCTGTTTTTTTACATACAGAGATATTTAAATATGAAGCTAGAAAAAAAGAATAACAAATACGATGAGATAGCTGGTACCATATTTATCAAAAAGGTAAATTACCTTCTGATAATCAGACAGCCCAGTGTACTTTGGAAAATTCATGTTAACCAAAATTTCTGCACCTGCTCCAATAGCATTAACAACTCCCAGCATGCCACCAAGATGAACAAGAGAAGGGAAAGGATTCAAGTAACATTTCCTGAACAGTTCCAGTAAACATTTAACGCGTTCAGCCTCAATAGAGTAAACACCTTCATTCAAAATACAAGAAAGTACTGTCCCTGCTCCAACACATGATGCCATCAGCATACTATGGTGTAAAGTGCCAGACGTTTTCACGGAAATTAACTCGGAAATGAACTCTTTAAAGCCAATCAAAATGTGGTCCAACTCAGCATAATCCACCAATTCCATTCTCTGGCAAAAAGCTACTATAGTGGGAAGTGCAATACAGGATCCAAGTGCTAAAACAATTTCAGATTCTTTCCCCTGGAAAGTATTTTTTTCAACTAGTGAATGCACATATGGAAGCCATGATATTACCAAGTTCTTTATCTTGATGACAGTCTCCAACTCTCCAGCTCTGTATATTGCACTAATAGAGTTAGCTAGACCAAGAACAAGTCCAGCAACACCCCAGATATCTTCTTCCAAGTCTTCAGTGTTGTCAGATAACTGTTCATATACTTTAGAACTTATGTCATATGATCCCAGTGGAAAGCATGAACATAGATTGTCTAAAATATCAGAAGAACATCGAGTTCTCTGTTGTATCATTGTAGCTAAGGCAGTAATAATTCTTCCTAGTAATTCAGATTCTGGAACGTTCTCTGTTTCTTTCATCACAGTAGAGGTAGCAGAAGTTTCAACCCTGGTAAGAAGATCTTGGCAAGACAAACCCAATCCAACACCACATGCTCCTTTTACAAGGGAACTTCTGCCATCAAAAAGAACCTGGAAGTTCACGCAATCAGTGAAATGCAATGCCAAAAAATCTTATCAACAAGTTCCTCTAAAGATTGAACCAAACTGGAAAAAATTAACAAAAATGACAGGATAATCCATTTAAAACTTTGATTTTATATTCCATGTGTGTAATAGCATTCTTCCATCCAAAATATACCACTACAAACAAAATTGTGAACCTAAGTGTGTTACAACCTCTTAATATAATCCCATAAGTGTGTTAGAACCTCCAAAAGAATTTTCGATTGATGAAATCTAAGGGGAAAAATTGAACTTATGTAAAGGTCCAGAAAAACTTGCATTGGATCCAAAATATCAAGAGATTTTAATTAAAAATGCAATAGCTTCTTTAATATTCAAACTTATTTTCATCGGCACTTTAATTTAATTAAAAATACAGAACAAGAATACCTCAAGAAGTCCAGTGATGTTATCATATCTCTGTTTATGATCTGTTACATGAAGGCAACTAGAGATTAATCCTAGAGAAATTGCAGCAGACCATTGGCGGTGTTCATGTTCATGTTGGAGCAACCATTCCAAAAGAAACTTTGAAGCAGCAGATTTAACTGTGTGAACAGAAGGGGGCAAAACCTGATAATAGAAAGGCCAAAGTTTGTAGCAATCAAATGTTATTATAGTAATACATAAGATACTTTGCTAACTACATTATTAGAGAGCTGACTCAACACATGTTCCTTATGAATACAGTTTGTGTTAAGATGCCAATCAGTGGCACAGATGATAACTGATCAGAATCTTTAAATGAGTGCAGAACGATAGAAAACCTTCTCACCTCACAAAGTGCACCAATAGCCAGTGCAATATTTTCAGCAGCTCTGGGTATAGCCTCATCCGCCATAGCCATCATACTCTGCACAAAAATCGTGTAACAAAACCTATATCAGACATGACAAACTTGTGCATTCAATACAGATAACTGATAAATGGGTAAAAGGATGGTTTGTAATGACAAAAGACCAATCTTGACCTTTAAAATGTCACTAGCAGCTTTAGAAGTTTTATCTAGGACACTCAATTGTGACTTAGCATCGTATGAAAGTGTGTAAGCCTTCATCCATCGTCGCACAAAGCCTTTCCATGATTGCACTGCCATCAGTGCAAGCAAGATATTTCTTGAGAGCTGAAGAGAAGCAGCTACTTCCACTAGAGCAATTTCATACCCAGTATGTACTTCTCTTAACCTCTGAATACTTAAAATATCAGATCAAATGTTCATTCAAATCTAAACAGAATATATGTAATCTGTCAATATCTTACTTTAGATGTTTGGTGTTCATTCACGTCTTTAGGAGTGAAAGAAAAACATACTAAGGCGGCACCAGGTAATTCTCTAGCTACATTTAGCTTTCCTGTAAATAGATGCTTAACATCAAGGCCTATGCATATAACACAAGAAAATAAATATAATAAACCAGACAGAGTCCGCTAAGCTATTGGTGACAGAAAACTTGATTTAAGCATTTCATTTTATTTTTTCCACCATCAGGTCTGAATTTCTTCTTGCAAGAATTATTGAGAAAAGAACACAAAATGGAAAACTGATAACTCCATACCTGAAGAGAATATAACCTGCGGAAATACATTCATCAATTTTTCAATCTTGCTTCCTGTAACTCTTTTTGTCTTGACTAGTCTTCGTCGATTTCTAAGGTAAATGGATAAAAAAAAAGACAAATTCAACCATGCTAACATTATAACGTCCTATATAAGTAAATTGTAGGATGCAATGGTTACATGTGCTCATATGCTATTATCTTGACATGAAAATCCTCCATAGCTTTGAGAACGTTGGGATTTGTTTCAGAAAAGAACAACTCTAAAATCATTTTTTTGAAATCTGGAATACTGTTTTCAAGTTGGGATACCTGGAAAGTGATAACAAAAACAATATTAAAGAAAAAGTGTAAAGTACTCTTTATTCAATAAAACAACAGTCCACTTATGCAGAGAAACATTTGCATAGGTGGATATACTTCATATTGGGAAAGTGACTCCAGGGCTGAAATTCTAGCTTTTGCCCACTGTCTATCTTGACTGGAGGTAACTACATCCCATATAATTAGCAGCACACTCTTTGATGCTTCTGAATATGCTTCTGCATCCATTGCACCCCACCTTAGCAGAAGGCAAAGGCTGCCATAATACAGGAAATATCTTTAAATGAGACAACAGAATGAAAATTCATGACTGGGAAATTATGTATTAGTTTATGGAGAAAGAACACCTCAATCCAAAGACTATACTGAATCAGAGTTTATTAACGGAAAGAAGATATATATGTAAAGCAATATGTTGTTTAAGAAAATTCATGATGCCCAAGATGAAAATTTCAGAAGTTGTCAGTGACACTTAATGAGTTGGGAAATAACTTACAAATTCCTTTTCCATAATTTACCACCATCTTTATTATAATCTATGTCAACAACATATAAGTGTCTGCAAAGGAATCTTAAAGATGCTTACCTATAAGCAAGAATAGGATCATCTTGGTAACCTTGCACATGCCTTGCAATGACATCCCATGCAGTGTAAAAATCTAAAGAAGTCAATATATCTGATCAGAAAGCCATTTAACAGATAAATTGAACATGATCTAGCATCAAACTATTGTAAATGCATACATTACTATTCCTTGGTATGGTATTATTCCACAAACATGTTTAAAAAAATTACCAATCACATCAGCTTCACAAAGGAAGGCAAGGCTTTGCAAACCGAGAGCTTTAATTACATGATCTTGGTTCTCAATGCAAGACTGTTTATTCCAACACCAAACTGTGATTTCTATTCAAAGCATGCGCTGCAAAAAGATAATCAAGAAAACAGTAGTGCATACCGAAACAGACAATATGAGATCAACACCCCTATCAGCACTTCTATGGCAAACATCTCGGATGGAAGCAGCCCTGCTGATGCCAATTTCTCTCTCTGAAGTGTAATTGGTGAAACCTTTAGGGAGCAAGACACCCTACATCAAGAGAAATGCAAAAAGAAAATTATGGGAGAAAATTTACTGTAGTAAAGATTTTGAAGGCATGGCAAGGGACGGTAAAATACTCAAGCATAATTGGAATTTCAATCCTTAACAAAAATCTATGAAACATTTTTGCTTGGACAATTGTGAGAAAGAATGGGACAAACAATACCAAACTGTCAGATTATACCGTAAATTTATAGAAAACGTTTTTGATGTAGCCTTGCATGGATTCACAAGAATATATCACAGAACAGCAAAAATTATGGTTTGTGTAACATATGTTTACTTAGCATCAAAATCTTATGGCTTTAAATTTGATCTCTGCTAGGGTGCACATGTCCTCTCCAAAAATATGACGTGTGGCATCATCTTTTGCCAGAAAGCAACTATTATTCCTGCTACTTATAAGTTAACTTCTAGATATCAAACAATTTTAAAATTAGAACAATGCACAGAAATTTAAGACTAAATAAATAGGTTATATTCTACCAGCTAGCTTTCCAATCCAAAAACAGAGTTTGGACTCACCATTTATAGATATGTCAGGATTATCTCAGATTTTAATCACCAAAGTCAAGTAAAAAGCCCAGAAATTACGTTATTTAGCTTATTTATCTACAAATAATTTTTGTAGCAATAAATTCTACTCTTAAGAACAGTGGAAATATTAATCATGTGTGCACAACATCTTAATAAATAATAGAGTTATAGAACAGAATACTCACACCACTTCAATGTGTTTAACTTTACTTAAGAAAATTTTTCACAAATAGTTACAATTAAATTGAGTTCACAATTACATTTCTTCAATCAATTACAATTTCAAGTCATCTCATCTTCAGTATTAAACAATTATGCATGTTCCCCTAAAATAATACTTCTGGCAATGGAAGAACAAGGAAAGTGTGGAATGAAAAGCTCACTTGCAAACTCCCAAAGGCTCGATCATTAGTCTCCCAAGTTCGACAAAGCAATCTAGTGGCCGTAGAATGTAATGAGCTGTATCAAAATAGGAAACTAATAAGCAAGAATAATATAATAATAAAATAATAACTTATTTTAAAGAATGAAACAAAATACACCTAGTGATGTACCCACACTTTTGCATCTTTGTTAAGCATCGGCAAAATAGTTTGAACAACAAGTGGAACCATTGCCGAGTGTGAAGCAATTGATGGCAGCATTTCAAAAATTTTTAACTGCAAAACTAAAAACAAAATGTAAGAGAGGAAGAAAAATACTTCACATATGATGGGAGGCAAAAGAACAAGGTAACTCGTGCAATAAGTGTCATTACAAAAGGAATAAGTTACCAGCATATCATGGCAATTGACATCACTTCTTCTGAATATATTACTGTAAAACATAATTGTTAGCAACAAAGGAAGTCCTAGTTTGGGATCCACAATGGCAATGGAAGACAAAGAATCAACTGAAGAAGCACCCATTGACGGATGTATCAATAAAACATTAAGAACAGCAGCAAGTAACAAGGGCATCTCTGCAAGGGTAGACATTGACATAAGTTTAATCTCTTGCATCCTTTAACACAACTATAATTCCATTTCACAAAAAGCCAATAGGTTATACCATTCAGAAACATTTCCTGAGAATGTGAGAGTGGTAATGAAGATTTCCGTCGGTCAACAATTGACAAAAAGAACACTCTTAAATGGGAAAACCAAGATGATGGTCTATCATAAATTATTTCACTTTGGTTCAATCCCGTTAAAGCCAACTTCAGAAGGGAAGTTCTGGAAGAAGATTCTCCATCCTGAAAAAACATATACATATTTCAAAAAAGTCTATTATTGCTGGGGGAGAAAACTGGAAATAGCTACCATATACATTATATACTGCCCTTTTTCCAGTCACATAAATTATGAGTTCGTATATATTTAGTCAGGACTACAGCATATAAATGCTTCTGTCAAAAAGTACATACAATTTGCATAGATAATATAACAAACTTTTAAACAGAAAAAAGAAGGATATGCTGCACAAAATACCTGATACCACAGACGACGCAGAAGTCTCAAAACTATACTTCCTGGTGTGCTGAGATAATGAACTCCCTCCTCAATGATTGGTTTGTTTTTTGGAGCCACAAACATGTTGGCAAGGAGCTTCTCCAAGAGGTGAAGCAAATCAGTTGCCAATCCTTTAACAGATTTGGAAGGGGACGACATGAGACTGAGAATGGGAAGAAGAAACAAAGTCTCTTCAAATAATAAAGAGAATTCAGTCCCACTGATAGCCGCATCTGCATAGTTAACAATAAATAAATTATAAAAAAATGATGATATTAAGGACATTATCGAATGCGCATAATTAGAGGGATTATTTCACGAATTCAACCAAAGAGCATTTTGCAGCAGTAGCCAGAAAAAAAATGTTCCAATGGAAAGAGTATGCAAAAGCATATCTTGAAAAATTCATAAACTTCTGTTCCTTGAAAATATGAAATATAAACACTACAGAGATTGACTTAGAACTCCATGAAAAATGCCGAAAACAAATGTATCATTTAAAAAAAATAAAAACAGTAACCTAAATTTATCATGTGCATTCAACTTGCATGCATGCATAGACTTCAAAATCAAAGCAGTTATAGAAAACATACCACTGTCACATTTCCACTTCAGGATAAAGAGAAGGAGTTTCAGTATAGAAATATGTTCATGTTCAAGTTCTGATTGAACAATGATTATGAATAATGATAAAATAATTGATGACAAGCCAGGTAACCATGGTAACCCAATATCTTTCTGTACAGTTAACAAGCGCATAAAGAGTTCACATATGGGCTCAAGACCACCAAGGTGCCACTGAAGACATGTAGATAGAGAAAGAATTGTTTCCAGAAATTCAACAGCACACAGTTGAGCTTCAGTTATCAGCTGCTAACAGGAATCAATAAAAATACAAGAGCAAGGCATTAATTAAATTGAAGTAGGAAATGTCATCATAAAAGCAATGAACGCAAATGAGAAGTTTAAATTACAAGAGACATACTGATTTATTTCCAGCCAAAGATTTCAGTACAACTATATACGCCTCCACCATATGTTCTACAACAAATATTAATTTCCTGTAGTCCTGAGAAGGTCCAACAACAAAACAGCAACAAGATAATCATTTCACTACGCTAATAAAACATAGAAAAGAAAGAACTAATTTAACACAACATATTCAATGCTCATTCTAATAATTATACTTACTTCAGATCCCTCATGCGGAAGATACTTAAGGCACTCAGTTAGCAGCCTAAAAACAGGCATGGACTCATGTGGAAAAGAGCAACATAGAGTCAACATCGACGATACCAGTTGCATGGCAAACAAGGAAGAGGATGACTCCGAACCTAACAAATTTACGATTGAGACATCCAACAACGGCCTTAAAAACTCACAAACGCGCACCATTCCCACCTGCTTATTCTGAAACATAAATAGCAACACTTGCTGCAAGAGTTCGGACTGAACCTCTGGCCGGCACAACAACACCTGCCAAACATTAAATAAAATAAAATATCACGTTTCATTCAAGGCTCTGGAGCAAGGTTTCACATAGCACTTGCAGTCTAGATCCTTAACATGGTGAGAAATTGCATGCAAATACAGTCAATGAGGGCATATTTGCAGTCACAGCCGTAGTTTGGAACCTTGCTTAGAAATTAACTTGCACACCAAGTTATACAAAATTCTCAGGGTTTATTGTTTTGCTCCCTTGTCAACTATAACCGTGTTGGCACATGATAACGGTCACAATGAACATTTTCTATCTAACCAATAATATAATTCACATAAATCATATAGCTCATGAAAAGTATCACTCTCCCTCTCCATATCCTTCTCAATCATTTTCTCAATGAATTTCCTCAATTTAAAACAAACACTCTCTCATTTCCATAACTATTATAGAGTTTCTATGTTTTAGCTTTTTCGGCCTAACAAGTGCATATTTGGATGAAATTAATTAATTTCAACAAATTCTACTATCATTTTTTTTTATCAAACACAAAGAAAACCTACTTAAAATTTATTCAACTGAATAATTTGCACGTTGAGTGTGGTGAGTGACTAACCCTAACGAACGGGTGAGTGTGAGAGGAAGAATAAGCATAATGTGAAGAGGCATTGCTGCGGAAATCGTGGCGAGCAAGGAAGCCCAATCCCTTGACGAACACGGGGACGAGCTTCGGGTCGGAGCCTTCGAGCGCGGCCTGGAGCTCGAGCGAGGCGAGCGCGACGGTGACGACTGCGTCTGCGGCGAGGCGGCATAGGTGGCGGACGGAGTGGTCGACGACGTGAGGAGACGGCGACGAGAGGCAGAGGAAAATGGCGCGTCTTCCGGGTTCGGATTCCGGGTCGAGATGCTTTGGCGCGGATCTAAGCTTGGAGAAAATGGACTCAACAGCGAGTTTTTGGAGCCCCGGTTGGGGAACTCGGGTCTTCTCTAGAAGAGGACCGTAAGACTCCATCAGAGTGAGGAAGTTAGTTAGTGTCTCACTGATTACTTCGTATTCACATGAAGAATTAGGGGCCTTAAGACTTCGTCACACACTTACACAACTAGAGAAAATTTGATGGTTAGTGTTAAATACATTTAAAATCTATGTATGGATAAATATGAATTAAGGTTTAATCATCCACGAATTCTCTATTTTTGTGTGAAATCTCAATTTAGTTTAGTTCCGTTGTTTATAGAAATCTCAATTGGGTCCCAAATTTATGAAAATTGCAACAATTGGATCTTTTCCTTTAAATTGTCTCCAACGGCGTTAGTGTGTGTTTGACGTGGCACGCTGTAGTCAGTTTCTTAACTGACGTGGCACGAGTTTTTTAATTGACATGGATTAATGATGTGCACACCGTCACCTTCCTCACGGCATATCCGTGCCCATTAAGCACACTCACCGGAACCCTATAGTTCCTGACATTTGTAGACGGAGGTTCCAGACGACGGAGTAGACGCAATAGGCGTGCTCCTTGAAGGTGTGGACGCTGGTGGGCAGTCGAGGGTCCAGAGCTTGACGGTGTCATCCCAGGAGGAGGAGAGGAAAGAGTCGCGGCGGACGGGGTTGTAGTCGGCAGAGTGGACCTCGCGGGTGTGTTCCGGGAAGAAGCGGATCGGGTTGGAAGTGGGGGGTAGGGCCAGGTCGTAGAGCTTCACGGAGTCGTCGCCCACGGCAGCGATGATGATGGAGTCGTGTGATTCCGACCAGGCTACGTCATAGACACCATCGCCAGTGTCGTAGGAGGCAAGCTCCGCGATGGGGATGAAGGGGTCCGGGAAGAGTATGAGGACGTGGAGGCGGCCGTTGCCGAGGATACCAAAGTTCTGGGCGATGGCAACGGCGAGGCGGTTCTCATAGAAGGGGCTGAACTTGACGGAGTAGCCGTTGAAGGGGGTTTTGAAAACCGGCGAGGCAAGCAATTCCTAAGGCAGTTGCTGATGGTTCTGTTGTTTTGGGAAATCCTGTTGCACCCCGAATGAATGGTGACATTTATACAGATTTCAGCACTGAAAATGCCATGCTTGAGGGACCTCGGTACAATAGTTGTTTTCATTTTATTGGGCAAAGTATTTAATGTTACTTGTTTGGCTTCATTCATCTAAAGGACTTTGAACAGGCGAATTGCTAAAGGTGTGGAGTATCTGGTTCAAGCATCAGCTGCAGAAGCTGAAGCTATCAGTGTAGCACTGGCTACTGCCAAGGCACGACAAGAGAATGGAGAGGTTGAAGTGTCTAACAGAGACCGTGGGGCAGAGGTTATCCCCAAGTGGGAAACAAGCATCTTCCTTGATCAAGCCTGATTCTGCAGGTTCAAATAACATTCATCAGTTCAGTCTGTCTGGGGAAGAAAACAAAATTGGATTGATGTGTGGAGGGGTCTGTGTTTAAATGGAGCAAGACGTGAGAGAAGTACTGGGAATAGGTTTGGATTTCGGAGAGAAAAAGAAATTTAATTAGAAAGTATTAGAGAGAGGTGCAGGGCCGTAAGTGTATTAGAATGCTAAAATTCTTTGTTGAGAAGAGAAATAAGAAATGATTATTTAGTATTGGGTGGGCCCCATGTGTAAGATAAAGTAATTTAGGTTTTAGAAGGGTAGGGTACTAAGTTACAGTAGAAAAAGGTTGGAATAATAATATCCACGAGCTGCCCTACTTCAGTCAGCCACGTCAGTTAAAAAACTGACTACAGCGTGCCATGTCAAACACACACTAACGCCGTTGGAGACAATTTAACGGAAAGGATCCAATTGTTGCAATTTTCATAAATTTATGATCCAATTGAGATTTTCATAAACAACGGACTAAATTAAGATTTCACGCGAAAATAGGAACTTCGTGAATGATTAAACCTATGAATTAATTTCACTTGTGAATGAATAAGGTTTTATATTTATAGTAAAAAAAATATAATTTAAGTTTAAAATATAAATAAAAAATAAAGATAGATAAAATAAAATATATATAAGATATTTAATAATATAATATATCCAATACTTAATATATTAATAAAACTCAATTTTTTTTTGTTTCTTTACGAACTTTTGTTTAATAATTATACAAAATTTGTTATTTTAGTCTGTTAATGTTTAATTAGGTGTAATCTTAATTAATTTGTAAGGATAGTTGTGTGTACCTAATATCTCATTTGATAGTATAAAATTATTAAATAAAATATTATAAATTAGGTGAATATATATATATATATATATATATATAATATATATATATATTATATATATATATATATATATATATATATATATATATAATCTGTAGGTAGTATTATTTATATTATGTAGGGTTTATCCCTCATAGGGTTAATTTTTCCTGCCTAAAATCAACAATTTAGGGAAAAGATCTCTTACCATACTCTTTTTCATCGTATTTATCTCTATGTGAGATGAATGACATATAGTATATCATGATTGGACTATTCAAACAATTAATGTGTATTAAACACAATCACTTACTTCTTCATCTTAAATATATAAATATATTTATAAATTTCATAATAAGTTTCGAATTAATGACAATGTGGTCCAATTGATAATAATAATAATATTTTGTCGTAAGTTAATCGGTGTTAGATGAATTTGTTTTGTATGGTGAACATTAAGTCTGATGGTCATAGTCATTTGGTTTCAAAATTGCAATTATCATTATTTTTGTGGCATGTTAACCGTATGGACCGTTTGATCTAATATTGATTGAACAATCACATGGTAGAATTTTGAAATATATAATTTAATATGCATTTTTATATTTTATTTTAGGATATAAATTTTGGATACAATTTTTGATGTTCTAGGATACCAAATGTAAAATATATTTTAAATTGTATTATCTATAATATATTGTATTTTAGATTATTTAATTTGAAATAAATTTTATATTTCACAACAAAGGTAGCAGGATGATATAATTTATATCAAAAAATTGATATCTATATATATTTATTATTTACAAGTAATGAATAGTGAATATCTTAATACCCGTTTATAAATAGATTGAGTATAGATATCATATCATTTGTATCTATGAATATCCATTAAAACTAAAAAATTAAAATAAAAATTTAATTTATATTTATTAATTTAAATTTAATTAAAATTAAAATTAATTTATATTTTATTAAGTTAAATTTAATTATTTCTTTACATTATTTTTATTTTATTTTAAATTTTTAAATATATATAAGTATTACTTATATTTGCGAGTTTTAATACATCTATAGATTTTAAAATATCATAGATATTTTTTAAATCGATATCCAATTAATAATAAAACGAGTAAAAAATATATTTTTTTATTACGAATCATGAATAAGTAATCATCCATAATGACCTTATATGAAAAAAAGCTTTTGATACCCAAACAGGTGAAACAAAACTTTAAAATAACCATACTAAATATAAAAAGGGTTTACAATAATAAATTAGGTTTGGACCTTGATTTTACAAAATAGGTCATAGATATATGTGAGCTAGTGACCTATATCAAAGACTTTTGTTCTCATGGCATGTGCATAACATCCTGGGCTTTGAGTTTTTGTATCTCTAATGTCTTATCCATCAATCTTAGAAATTAACAAAACATCTCATCAACTTATGAAAAAAAAAAAATATTTTAACAATATTCTTTTATAACATTTTAACACGGTCTATTTTGTGATTGATTCATGTTCATGTTTATCTATTCTTATTGATTGTGAAGTATTTTGGATCAATACACAATGACAGTTAATAATTTGTCAACAAAATATTCTCAAAGTAGCCTTCTACAACAATTAACACTACACATACAATAGCTCAATTAATTGAACAACCAAAGAAAATAAAAATAATTTGTGATTTGTCTGAGATAAGAAAAATAATTTTGTTTATTGGTTAAAAATTATGAAAATATATAATGAGATTTTTTGAATTTTTGTCTTACCGTTTTCTCTTAACTTATTGTTTTCATATTATT